CAGCTGATAAGTCACGTGTACGCCTGTATGGTGTTGTCAACTTAGCTGTCAAATATTTGATTGATAAGGGGGTAGAAGTTGATGAAGTGTTTTGACCAAGTTAATAACCTGAAGCAGTTTGTGGAAAATTACAAGAGTGGTGAAAAATTTAGTAATCTGCCAACACATAAAAAGTGGACCAGATACTTTGAAAAATCAAAGAACATTGAATGCCACTCAGAATTGCTAAGAATTGCACAATTCTTCTTTGCTATATCATCTCACAATGCAAATGTAGAAAGAGTTTTTTCACTGATGCAAAGTCAATGGACAAAGGAAAGAAACAAATTGAGTATTGAAACAATGAAAGGCATTCTGACTGTACAGTACAACTTCCGAGAAACATCTTGCAGTGACTTCTATACCTTTCTAAAGAGCAATCAGCCAATACTGAAAAAGATCCGATCTACAGAAAAGTATGCATGGGCACATCAAGTCACACATACAGTGGGGGAAGAAGACTGCAGCTAAGGGAATGAAGATATTCAGCCTTAAGCAAAGGTTTTTTTTTTTTTTTTTAAGATTTCTATACCATGTATGTTAGTATTAGCCTGTGTGTGCCGTATGGGGGGATATCTTCGGGAGCGTCCTCTTTTTTTAATATTCAGATATGGCAACCCTATCTTATGGGGAAAATTGATCCGCTTAACATTGTTTCAAATAACGTCACGTTTTCAGGAACGTAACCCCGACGTTAAGCAAGGACTTACTGTAATACTGTACATGGTGTACAAACAACATATACACTATTATACAGTACAGTAAATTTGAATTATTGAAATTTAGATTCTTAAAATTCTTTGTTGTGGCAATAATGCACTCATCAGTGAAGACTTACTTCAGCTTTAGCCAGTCTGAGAACACTGGATCCTCTGAGAATGACTCGGCCTACAACTCCAGGCTTAAGTGTCTTTCCTCCAAGATCAAGTCTTCGCCATAGCGTTTCGTCAAATGCTAATCTCTTCCATCTTCTATTTACTTGGGCACACCTAGCCAACATGAACTTTGGAAGCCATCGGAAAACTGACAAAATCAACTCATCTGACATTCGATTAAATTTATCTGGAAAAAATAAAATTATAATCTTTAAAAAAAATAATATCTTATAGAAATGAAGAACTGCTATACACAGGATGCTATTGATTAACATGAGTTGCATATTGATCCAAAAATGAAGGAAAATTAGAACATGAGGAAGGAAAAGGCATGTAAAGGACAAGGGTGGAAAAAATACAAAGATAGGAAAATACATAAAAAATAGCTTACAAAGTATTACACTGTACAAAGAGAGTCTGACTACATAATCATATGTACAAACATTAAAATCACAAAACATTAATTCTGATTTTCCAAAAGGTAGAACTGAATAATTTTATATAAAAGTTGATAGGTATTAAAAAAAAAATCTAAGAGCACTACAAATTACTTGTAAACAGAAGATTGAAGATTGTTTGATGCATTTGGGTTTGTGGCTGTACTTACCATCCCCTCCAATAGCATCTAATCTTCTACGTTTATAAACAAAAAATTCTTCTTCATTTCCAGAGTCATCAGGAAGAAAGGTTCCATGACTAAGTACATTCTGATTAGTTTGTTGTAGCACCTGCAATGAAAGACAAAATTAACAAAATCCCCAGCACATTCCTGAAATTTAAAGACAATTAAATCAAACAACACTGCAACCACAAAATAAAGTTCCACAAAATTACTCAAATACTAAGTGTAGATCATAAATATTAACCCTTTAACTTTGATCAGGGTTCCTGGGAGATCCTCAGACGAGAGAATTTGCAATTTCCAAGAATGAAAATAATTATAATACTTTATACAGTATCTACAGAAATAACTTTAAATGAATACTGTATTCTAGGCACAATACTGTAATTACCTATATTAACTCAATTACTGTACAGTATTATGTTTTCAATAAAGTTATATTGATTGTTGTTGGTGCAGTCATAAACATAGTTAATAAAAAATAGTTACACACCATTTAAATATCAATAAAATATGTAAAGAAATACAGTATACAGTAATATATATATATACAGTGACCCCTCTGTTAACGAACTCAATCAGTTCCAGAAGGTCGTTCGTTAACCGAAACGTTCGTTAACCGAAACCATTGTTTCAATGGGTTTTTGGGTAATTGGTTCCAGCTCACCGAAAATTTCCTAAATTCAACAAAAGTGGTAGAAAAGTTCACTTACTTTGAGGTGTGTATGTAGAAGGCTCCTGGATGATGATGATGATGATGATGATGATGATGATGATGATGATGATGATGATGATGATGATGATGATGATGATGATGATGATGATGATGATGATGATGATGATGGGATTTAGAATGGGAGTGAAGGAGAAGGAAGAAGAGAAGGCATTGGGGTGGAAGAGAAGTCACCCCATGGCGCCATTTCACCCATAAAATTTTAGCTCTCTGGTGTAATTCAAGATTATTTTCTTTAAATCAACACTGCACTGCATTATATATTGTCAATATGTAAAATATATTTCAAAATGACCAATAATTTGCTTGGAAACACAGAAAAAAGCGTTTAGTTGAAGAGAGTCTCAAGCAAGATGTTACCTCCAGTGAAAACAGAGAGAGACTAACGCCTGTTTGTTGTGTTAAGAGGCTGGATGCCGCACATTAAACTAGTCATTTTACCTTCAATTATGTTCAATAATTGTTAAAATGACTAAAAAATTGAATATTAAACTTTTAAAATTATTGAATAGTATAAACTTCTTGATATTTACTAAAATAGTAAGGAATTTAAGCCCTAGAACCGATTAATGTATTGGCAGACTGATACTAAAGCTGGTTGCCCGGTCAGTGCAAGCGAAAACATGTTGAGGTCGGTTCGTAAGAACTTCGTTAACCGAATTTTTTTTCGTTAACCGAATAGAAGATCCTTATGGAAGGCAGTTCGTTAATCGAAATTACGTTAACCGAGGTGTTCGTTAAACGAGGGGTCACTGTATATATATATATATATATATATATATATATATATATATATATATATATATATATATATATATATATATATATATATATATATATATATATATATATATATATATATATATATATATATTCTAATTAGTAGACAAGCAAAGGTTTTAGTTTTAGTCCCCAACACCACAGTAAGGTCATCCTCTCCTTGGCAGCTTTATGCCCTGGTGCTGTTTTTTCATGTTCTGAAAGGTACGTGAGTTCAGGCATCCTTTTTCAAAATAAACCAGTCTTATCAAAATTATAAACTTGCTCAGCACAATAATCCCCCCTTAAATTATTTTAGCTAAAGCAGCAGGGAATTCACTTGCTGCACCATCATTACCATCTTCAGTTTCACCCCAATAAAGCCTCTGTCACTCCTACAAATGCCCATCTCTACATGCAAGCCAGCCCCAGGTTTCAATGTAAGTGTCAAACTTTAATTTTTAGTTTTCTTTACTGTATTTTGTCATTCAATTTCTTCTTTTCCCTTAAATTAAGTGATTCAAGATGCATAAAAGGACTTGGGCTATGATATAGTGAACATGCGGTATGTGTTCTGACTTAAGTACATTTCCAACATAAGAACGTCCACAGGAACGGAACTCATTTGTAACCCGTGTGTGTGCGCATGCGTGCGTGTGTGTGTGTGTGTTATTTTTGGGGGGATTAGCCCACCAGGGCACAGGTCAATGACCCACATCAGGACCTGGGGGCAAAATTATAATAATAATAATAATAATAATAATAATAATAATAATAATAATAATAATAATAATAATAATAATAATAATAATAATAAATAAATACAAAATTTTTTAAAAAGATTAATACTGTAGTGCAAAACGATGTCTATACAGTATATTGTATTGTCAAATTAAGAGAAACAATTGAAACCCTGCAATTGTGTGTAAATGGGGCAGAAAGTCAGATCAGCAACCTGGGACTTGGTCACAATTTTTGTTTGCCATATGGCAACAAAACAAACTATGGCCACAAGGGTTCTGCAGAGATGTGGAAGCCCTCGGAGCCTCAGTGGGAATAACATAAAAAATGATTAGTTTAAATGTGGTGAACAAATAAAAAATGCAAACCTCTTGTAATTGCCAGGTACTGAAAAAATGCAGACCCAGCATTAACTGATGTCAAAGTTTTAAAATTAAAATGTACAGAAGTTGAAGGTTAGTGGGCAAATCTTAATTCTGGTTAATCAACTGGCAAATGAATCTAAAAAAGTGTATGTGGCTCTAAAGTTACAGCTAAAATCAGACCTTTGGAGGAGGTGGAGGTTTGTCTTCATTAACTTGTGTGACAGGTGGTGTAGGTGTGGGTCCTCCTATACTCTCCTCATCTTGAAGTATTGACAAACCCATGTCTGCCAGCAGTGGAGGGTTTGTGCTAACATCACCACCCAAACTCCATCTTGTGCACTTCATGTTACTGTTGCTATTCTCCTTATCATAACTGCGCTTTCTGTAATGAATATATGATGATGTTGTAGATTACACTAAAGAGCTGATAATACAAAATATACAATAATTGCCAGTACTTTTTTTTAGCTATACTGTGCAGTGAAACCCCCATATAACGGACTTCTCTCTCCTGTACTTAAATTCATAAGATGATAGTTTTACATATGATGGATCCTTGAACTAACAGACTCTCTTCTCCATATAATCCATTAAATGGAGGTTTCATATTTAATGGACCTTCTACTTACTGGACATTCCCCTACATATACTGTAGTTTGTTAAATAGAAGTTTTACTGTACTATACTTAAACAGGATAGGGTAAACATAGGTCTCAGATAAAACTGGGGTTAATTTCTCGCAATACAGTAGGGTCGGGATATATCGCGATAGGGTCCAACGATGTTCGCTATATACTAAATCGCGATACAGTATATAATTACTGTACATGTAATCATTGGGGAAAAATAGGGTTAGGTTTTGGAGGCCAAAAAAGTGACTAAACTTGACTTAACGAGTTCATTTTCTTACTAACTAAAGCACCATTGAACACTAGACTCGGGAACAACAGGCTATTTCAATATCAAGGAACACCAGACTCGGCAACTGACACACCATCCTGGGAACACCAGACTCGGCAGCTGACGCCACACTGCTACCCTCACTTGACAATCCCACACCTACATAAACGAACACCAATAATATTAGTTACAGTATTAAATCTTTTCCACTAAGCTTTCCATTATCTTCACTTCACTTTTCAAGTCACTAGCAACCTGTTAAACACTCACCTCATAATCTGCAGCAGAATCGGCTGCTTTCTCGTCACTCACTCAGAAAGACTGAGCGGGCGAGCGTGAGCAGCCACGGTGGCTCTTCTGGTGAGCAAATAACATATTTGTTTGCCACGCGATACATTTGAAATATTTCCTGCCCGATTTCCCTCGCGAAATAAAACAAATTATCGCTATATGTAGGAAAATGTCAATAATTTTGGTAGCCACGATATAAAAAATCGTAATATAAAGTCACAATATATCCCGACCCTCCTGTACCTAAACCACTTGTCAATCAGTCTCAACCAGTGTGTGCCAAAAAATGGCTGTTTTCACCCCTTTGAGGAGAGTAATATTCTAGCTACAATGATTGACCAAAACAATTAAAATAATAAAAATAATTTTCCAACATTGAAAATGGCATAGAACAAATCAATTACCCTTTTAAGTAAAATTAGAACAAAACAATAAAATAAAAAACTAAACTACGGTATACAGATAGTATTTGCAAGAAGTTAAAGGGTTACAGAGGACCGTTCTAGGAGAAAGTTAATTATGATAATATAAGCATCTTTGAATGATGATTTTAATGAAAAGGCAGAAAAGAAACACCAAAAGTAAGAACATATGAGTTGAGCAACAGAAATGAAATAATCATCAAAGACATGGGGTCGATTATGAATTGAATTGGAATTGGTTATAAAATCCATAAATTGGAATTGAAAAAATACAAAATTAAAATGAATTGAATTGAATTGGAATTGATATCAATGAATTGATATGAATTGATAAAATAATATATTACACTGTCATGACTACGACAATAAAGTGAAAGACATTCGCGACCTTCTGACTGTGAAATACAATATGGCAGGCAGTGTTGATCCTACAACAACAGACACTTCCCCTGCTGAACCACCACCGATGAAGCGGAACAAGTTCTTTGCCCTGGCCAACCGGTCTTCTACACCAAGACCAACTCCATCAGAAACTGAGGTCTCACTCTACCTCAACCAGCCATGTCTACAGGAAGATGGTGATCCCCTTGGCTACTGGAAGGCCAAGCAACCTGAGTTTCCTGCCCTCACCAGGCTTGCAGCAAAGTACCTGGCCATTCCTGCTACATCGGCTCCTGTGGAACGAGCATGCTGACCATTACACCACAGGTCACCGTTACTATCAACAAGCATGGAGACCATACCTTCAGATAGACATAACATCCCTAGACAAAGTAAAACACACAGTGACTAAGATGATTCCTGATACATATCATCTCAATTATCCAAGTTGACTGAGAGCCTTAGGACTAGCAACTCTTCAGACAATAGGGTGGATCTCAAAAGGGCATCCAAAATCTTGAAGTGGATGGAAAACGTAAACTCGGACCATTTTTTTCGTGATGTCATGCACCATCAACTTCTAACTTGCCAAGATATCATGCAGGACAAATACTAATAATAGCCGGTCTTACTCTTATGTTTATCAAAAGTGCCAGTTCTTCTAAAGAATTCACAAGCACTCAAAACACAACTTGAGAATGAAAAGAAATATATACTGTACTACAATAAAAGCTCACAAAGTGACAGTTCAGCTTCTTACATTCATGTGCTGTACCTTTACATTTTAATATACTGTACTTGCTAAACCATGTAATTCTCAATCACTGTACCCTTTTCAGGAACATACTTTCACAAAAAAAAGAAAGGTTTTAAGTTGTTTCTTAAAGGCCTTCACAGAAGTCAGCTGCTTCATGGAAGCAGGCAACTGATTGTACAATCTAGGTACTAAATAGGAAAAAGACCGGGCAACAAAAGAACATTCCTGTCCTGCTCTAGGCTCCTCTAGGCAAAATTATTTCAGAACTTGTAGTCAGAGGATTTAGTAGATTTGACAAATACTTAAAATCACCAAACATAAGTGCCTTAAAAGTCATTAGGAAAATTTTGAACTCTATCCTAGCTTTAATTGGAAGCCAATGTAATTTAATCAAGAATAGGGTAGTGGGAGTCCTCGGTGGGAGAGCAAAAATACCTGTAGGCCTGGCAATCCTGTTCAATGCTGTTTGAACTTTTTTCAGTAGATAATTAGGTAGGCAGACCCATAAAGTGTTATAATAGTTAACCCAAGGCAAAATAAGTGAATGTAATAGTGTCACAAGATACAGTCTATCCAAAAAATGTTTACTGTAACAACATATACAGTATATTTTGAATATGAAAGTTGCAACTCTTAACTACTGAATTTACATGCTCATTAAAATTCAGTTTTAAGTCAAAGTACACTCCAAGATTACAAACAGAATTGACAGGAATGTGTTGTACTTCACCAAAGTTTAAAGAGCCAAAATCATCTGAACTGTCTTCCCTCTTATTTCCTTGGGTGATGATAACACTGGTCAACATAAAAAAAAATTCTCATGGTTCTGGATCAAAACAGTCTGATTCTAGTGTAATTGTATGTGCTGAACTCAATTATGACATTCGTATAGCTGTATCAGGCTCAGTTTTCCAGAACCAGCATATCTATATATTTAGTGTACCATGCTATTCATACAGTAATTTATATGCTCATTGGCTCCACTTATGCAATTATTTTGTCCTGATTTGTGCTTTTTGTTTGTTTCAGTTTGCTGATTCATGATATTGCATATCTACACCTGCATGATTTGTAATTACTCTGAAATTAACAAAACATGGAACGTCGCAAGTGTGTGAACGGTGCTGACAGTTTTTGCTACATATGTGGTGCCTTCACTCCTGGTAGCCTCAAGAAACCAATCACAAAAGCTGTTCGACTGAACTACAAAAGTTACTTCAAATGTCATTTGGGTGACCAAGACAAGAAATGGGCACCTCATGTAGCCTGTAAGTCTTGTGTTAACCACCTGAGCGAGTGGATGTGTGGTAAACGAAGTTCAGGAATGCCGTTTGCTGTACCAATGATATGGTGTGAACCTAAAGACCACAGTAGTGACTGCTACTTCTGTCTCACAAATATTAAGGGAATGAAAATCAAGACACGAGGCAAGGTACAGTACCCCAATATTGCTTCTGCAATCCGACCAGTACCGCACAGTGCTGAACTTCCAGTCCCAAATCCACCGACTGAACAAGAATTGAGTGATTCCGATTCTACCTCTACCTCAATGGAAAACGACTACCAGGATGACTCTGAAAATACCAGGCCTAAACTATTTACTCAAGAAGCGCTTCATGATCTCATCAGGGACCTAAACTTGTCAAAAGAAAAGGCTGAAGTTTTGGGATCCAGACTAAAGCAGCGTAACCTGCTAGAAGATGGAGTGCATATCACTACAGCGCGTTACCGACATAGACAGCTGTCTGCATTTTTCAAGATGGCAAACAACCTTTGTTATTGCGAGGATGCAGTATCTCTCATGCAACAACTCTGCAAGTCTGAAACATACAAGACAGAGGATTGGAGGCTGTTTATAGACTCAGGAAAAGACTCTCTGAAAGCTGTTCTTTTACACAATGGCAATCGGCTTCCATCTGTCCCAATAGCACACGCAACAAAAATGACTGAGAGCTATGAAACAATGAAAATTCTGTTGGCCGCTATAGAGTATGAGAAACACCAGTGGAAGATATGTGGCGATCTCAAAGTCATCAGTTTACTACTGGGCCTTCAGAGTGGCTACACAAAGCACATGTGCTTTTTGTGCTTGTGGAACAGCAGAGCTGATGCAGAGCACATGTGAGAAAGGATTGGCCGACAAGACCAAGAGATGCGCCTGGAAGGTTTAACTGTGCTCACAATCCGCTTGTAGATCCAGAAAAGATATTTTTGCCTCCACTGCATCTAAAGCTCGGTTTGGCTAAAAATTTCATCAAAGCTATGGATCAATTCGGTGCTGGGACTCTATACTTATCTCAGAAACTAGGTGGTGTGGTTTCCGAAGCCAAGTTGAAAGCAGGTGTCTTGAATGGACCACAAATTCGTATACTAGTTAATGATAGCGAATTCACCAAAACATTGAACCCACTGGAGAAAAAAGCATGGGAATCATTTGTCAATGTGTCAAAGAATTTTCTTGGAAACTATCGTGCTGACAACTACAAAGAAATCGTAACAACCATGCTTCAGAATTATCATGCATTGGGAGCAAGGATGTCCTTGAAATTGCATTTTTTCCACTCTCATATTGAATTTTTCCCAGGTAACCTTGGAGACGTTAGTGATGAACACGGCGAAAGATTTCATCAAGATATCGCCATAATGGAGAGCAGATATCAGGGACAATTCAGTCCTAACATGATGGGCGACTAT